CAATAATTGAATCTAGGGTATTAGAATCGTAATACACGCGTAAGCGGGTTATGATTAATTTAGCATCTCAGATTAATAATTCGGGTTATTTACTTGCATAATTGAAGGAATTGGGGGAGTAATAATCACATAGGGAGAAGAATACAATCCTAGGCTTGCTTACCTTGATTAAATCTTTGTTTTAAATTGCTTTCTTGTTTTTGCTTGCCTTTTAATTTAGTTTAATTTAGTTAATTCTCTCTAAGTCGATTGTGTAGGGTGGGCTTGATAATAATTGCTAGAATTTAGCGTCTAGGATTAAGTAATTAAATATTCCATGTGGGTTCGATATCCGTACTTAATTGTCCACTATATTACTTGTACGATACGTGCACTTGTGTGTAGGTATTACAACCAACACAACGAACACAAGTTGTAACTCGTCCATGAAACATTTAAACATTTAAAGAAAAAACCTAAAAATCAAAAACTCGTTTGAACTGTTTCGACCCCATCGGAGTTTGACCCATATGGTCGTCCGGTTATATGGTCGGTCCGGTTCTGATATCATTAATTTTTTATTTGTTTTGAATTTTATCCGATAATTAAATGCATAAGTTGATATATTAGTGTTATACAAAAAAAACAAATTTTAATATTTACAATAAAAAAGAAAATCTTATCACGTATGAAAACAAGAAATATATGGTTGATGATTTAAAGTATTTATATTTGTAGAGATAATTATATAAAGATCTTGGGACCTTAAAAATCTGATCACATAGAAAAGTTAAAAAAATATGTAATTTTAAACGTGGAGAAATTTACATGTGATTCTTATTATTGTTGACTTAATCCTTATTTATTTGTTTTTTTTTCTTCTTTCTTTTTAATTTTTGTTTTGTTTTGTTTTATTTTATTTTGCGGCGCTTACCACTTTATGACTTTGGATAATTTGGATGTCAAATTCAACAAGATTTTAAAATATTGTCACAGAATAATCCACTAGCTATTAAATTATCAAAGTATAAATATGTATATTGTAAACAAGTAAAATAATATTGCTAAAGGTACTGTAAAGAAAATGATATATATGCTTGCTGAAGGAAATTGCATTCCATCTTTATTTCACATTGCCAATGCATTTATTTATACAAGAATTTGTATAAGCCTTGTCAACCAAAAACTAATTTATGTCTTGACACGTAGCATCATGAGAAGCTTTATTAGACATGTCATACTAATCCATAAGCTATCAAAATGTTTGAGTCCACATGATGAATAGATATACTTCAGTATTATAATAAGTATTTTAATCCTTATATATACGTATATACTTTGGTTTATTTAAATAATCAATTTAAATTGATAAATGTAGTCTTGGTTTCACATTGACTTTTATAGGCTGGATGATTTATTTTGGGTGAAGTTGTACCACATAAAAATCGGCTGGAGATGTCAGAATCAATCAAACCTACATTTTAATGTCTTCATATATATGATCTTGATCTTGTGTGGGAATCTATTGATGCATCTACATTCATTCCCACTATTCTACATATTCTAAATATAAGATTATTTGACTAATATTTTAATTTTGCAAACACACCAGACTTACATTATTTGCATATAACTTATTTTTTACTATATTTGTTAACATTATAAGCATATATAGCACGAAAACTTCTATTTGTTAACGTTTTCGCGTTTCGAACTCGTTTCGTGTTTCACACTCGAGAGCACCTATCGGACAATTAATAGAACATTTTGTAATTCACTATATATTAACAACATAAAATATGCAGGGCAAACAAATTAAATAAATGCCTTTTTCAAAAAAAAAAATTAAAAAAAGGGATCATAAATAATTGAAATTGATAGGGCAGGCCAAGATAGCAACAATTCACAATTATATAATTAGTGTGTAGCTGAAAAAAATCTAACTCACATGTTACATGTGTGGTTAATGATTATGAATTTAAAGTTAAAAATCATTTTTATTAAGTAGGGTCGACATTATTTTATCTTTCTCCACTTCTTTTCTTTTTTTCTTCTTCTAATTGATAAAAGAAAAAAAGGGTTTATTAGGGAAAACCCCCTTGTTCATATTTTCTAATGAGGTAGATCCAATTTTTTTTCCCCTTTTTGAGATACACCCAATTTTGCTAACTTGGCAAAATATATTATATAATTTCCCTTTAATACCCCTGTTTTATTATTAAACGACATTTATTTCCTTTAATACGTGATTTGAGATTTGCAGATACGTTGCCTAAAATCACGGAATAAATTTACGTGAGATCATTGGCCGTTATATCAAATCGTGTACAATATTTTTTGAAGATTCTCTTCATCGTTCCAGCGGGTTTTATCGTCTTTGAAGATTTCTGCACCGTCGTGGAAATATGATCGATTTTTGAGCGTTTGTTGTTGGACGTTGTTAAGCGGGTATGAATGCGTTATTCGTTTTTATTTTTTGCTCAATGTCCATGATTGTCGTGTACGGTGGTTAGAAATTTTTAAGAGTTGTGTTGATACTTGATTCTATTAAGTAGAACGTTTTTTAACAAAATTATTCCGTCATATATATATATCGTTTTTTTTGGCCGATGATGTTTGTTTGGAAGAGGATTGACAGAGTTAGAAGAGGATGGTTCACGCAGATCGGACCAGAGTTGTTTTATATGAGTTTCGTAGTTGGTTTATGCAATAATCGGAATAATTGCCCGCTGTGGTCGAGTTCATGTTTTTATCCCGATCGATAGTTGGTTTATTTGTTTATAACAGCCGATTTAAGTGTGTTGGGTAGTACATTAAACTATAGTTCGTAGTCTTTTTTTAATTTAGCGTATGGATTTTGCATTTTAAGTTTATTTTTGATGATATTAATGTATTATCATTCTAATGTATTTGCAGTCTATTCAATCATTTTTTAGTATTCTGCATTTTTAATTTTGTTTCATGATTTTAGGTTTTTTTGATGGCGAATTTTGTACGGATTTTGTTGAGGTTTGGTGGGTTGGTTGCTATAAAGAGGTGTTTACGATGTAATGGCTCGGTAACTTCGGTTAAGTGTTAAACCGTTGTAATACAGTAGTATACTATTATGAATACCGTATGATACTATCATTATCATTTTATTATACTATTATGAGATTATTAATGTACTAGAATTTTTTAACTCGACATATTGGTTTGATTGTGTTATGATGTGTTTTATGTATTTTATCAAAACCCTAAATTGAAATTATGAGATTATTAATGTACTATTTTATTGGTTATGTGGAATACTTTACGTTGGTGTTGTTCTCAATGTTCTTGTCATTTCAGTGGTATATTGTTTGTAACACAATTTCATATCACTACTATAACCGTAATATACTATCATAGCAGATTAATGTACTATATTGAAATTATTAATATACTATGTGGTTGAATAATACGGGATCCATAGTCGATTAACGAGATCCATAGTCGAATTAGATCAATAAGATAGTCTATTACATGATATAAGGAAAATTACCCTAATTGATTAGTATTTCAAACAAACATATTATTCAGTTTCCATATATATTATTATTTTTTCATATATATTATTATTTACCCTAATCATTTTCATATAATAAGGAAAATTACCCTAATTGATTAGTATTTCAAACAAACATATTATTCAGTTTCCATATATATTATTATTTTTCCAATAGTCAATTAACTAAACCAATAGTCGAATTAAATACATGGGATAGTCTACTAAAAGATATGAGATAGTCTATTAATTTTAAAACACAAATCCGCCGCCGTCACTTCTCAAATCTAGGGTTTTGATGATTCTTCGGCCCATAGTCGATTAACGAGATCCATAGTAAAATTATACCAGTGGGATAGTCTATTAAATGATATGGGATAGTATATTAATACACATGTAATTCGACTATGCATCTCGTTAATCAACTATGGGCCGAAGAATTATCAAAACCCTAGATTTGAGTAATCCTAGATTTGAGTAACCCTAGATTGGAGCAGTGACGGCGACGGCGACGGCGGCCAACGACGATATCACTTCTGGTGGATGTCCTGCCCATCAATTGTTGCAATATCAATGATTTAGTGCTCAAATTCGGTATGCGATTATAACAAATCTGCAATTATACAAACGTGATAGTCGATTTAGCCAAAATATATGAACAAATCGATGGACGATAGCGATGTAGCGACCGGCGAAGACGTACCTACGGTGGCTTGCTCGGAGTCCACGAAAATCGTCGTTTCACGGTAGTGCAGATTTCTTCCCCTTTCGATCGGCCGTACCGGGAAGTGGTTCTGGGAGATTTTTGCAGTTTATTTGATAGTGGGTTTTGGGGTGATAGTGTGTTAACGGGAAAATAGGAAGGGATTTGATATTATTTCAAAAGGTAAAGTAACGGGATTTGTGGGATTTGATTGAGGGTAATTATGTAATTACAAAAAGCTTGGGCTTTTATCAAAATGGCAAATTTAAATTTGGGTCTACCCCTATTATTTGAATGTTTAAGGGGGTTATATCTAATAGACCCATAAAAAAAATAAAAATAAAGAGTTAGTAGTAAGGTGTTTCATGCTTTAATTAATGATATTAATTAATTCTCCATCCATAACAGAAAGTAGGGTGTTACGTACATCATATCGTTAACCATTTTGTCATGACAAGCTGACCTGAAAAGTTCCCACTACCAAGGCTTCCGGCCACCAAGGTCATTCTTGGTAATTCACACTCTAATTTCGGCTGCTCTTTTTTTTTTTTTATTTTTTTTAATTATTTTTTTTTATGTGTATAAATACACAACCACACGTACAATATAATATCTCACCACACACTAATTATTTCTTGCAAAAAATCAAACAGCAAAAAGTAAATTCCATTACCTAAACCTTACGCTCTTTCATGCATTACACTATCACAAAGTTTTCTCAATAGCGCACACTAATGCACCATCTCTGTGTAAAATTGATACTCATGAATTTCTCTTTTTGTTGTTATTATTTTCTACTATATATTAATTTATCTCACTTGTGTTTAATTTGTTTGAAAATTTCTCAGTTTGTGAAAGAAAAACAGATACTTGTGAACATGTTGGAGAAAACCGAAGAAAGGCTCGACTCGGAGGCGGTCATAGAGGAATTCGAATCGTTAACAAAAGATGCAGGGAAAGTGCAAAAGGAGATACTAAAGAGAATCTTGCAAGAAAACGGAGAAATCGAGTATCTTCTGAAATTCGGCCTCGATGGAAAAACGGACCCCGCTAGTTTCAAGGCTCGTGTCCCGATTGTCACTCACGAGGACTTAGAACCTTATATTCGCCGAATCGCGGATGGCGAAAAATCGTCCATTCTCTCTGCAAAACCAATATCCACCATCTCATTGAGGTAAAAAAATTATCTGTTGAAAAGGGGATAATTGCATTGGGCACCCCTGTACTTTTTCTAGTTGTTAAAAAACTCCCCATTTTATTTTATTAGCAAAAAAACCCCTAAAAACTGACTTTTTAGCGGGGTGTTTACCTAAAATATGCATTATAAGGTGGGCGTTCTGCAAATATATATAACATGGAGGTTTTTTGAGCAATATGATATAATACAGGGGCACTAGATGCAATAAACTCACGAAAAAAATGATTTTAATTGACATATATAAAATGTTTTGTCCAAATTTCACTAATATATATATATATATGTTGATGATGTTCTTGCAGCTCAGGTACAACTCAAGGAAAACCAAAATACGTACCATTCAACGATGCATTGATTGATAGTACCATGCAGATATACAAGACTTCTTTTGCCTTTAGAAACAGGTAGGTATATATATATATATATATATATATATATATATATATATATATATATGGAAAATTACAGTTTTCACCCTCAAGTTTGCACTGATTTCACATTTAGTCCCTCATATTTCAGTAATTTAACATTTTTGGTCATTTCCGTCAATTTACCGTTCGTTCTTCAGTTAAGGCAATGACGGGCACACACTTGATTCCGTTAGTACTAACGGAAAATCGACAGAAAGGACTAAAAGTGTTGAATTTTTGAAACATAAGGGACCAAATGTGATTTTTGTGAACATGAGGGACTAAATATGAAATCAGTGCAAACTTGAGGGACTTGAGGGACTTGAGGGATGAAAACTGTATTTTTCCATATATATAAAAGAAAACATTTTATCTTCAAAAAAAAAAAAAAAGAAAACATTTTAATTAAATTACCTTTTAATTTGCAGAGAATATCCAATAATTGGGAATGGCAAGGCACTGCAGTTCATATACGGCAGCAAGCAATTCAAAACCAATGGCGGGCTGACAGCTGGCACGGCAACGACAAACGTGTACCGAAACACGGAGTTCAAGAGAACAATGCATGCAATGCAAACCCCGTGTTCGAGCCCGGACGAAGTGATTTTCGGCAATAATTTTCAAGAATCTTTGTACTGCCACCTCTTATGCGGACTGATATTTAGCGACGAAATCCAAGTGGTGTCGTCGACATTCGCGCACAGCATAGTCCATGCTTTCCGAACGTTCGAAACAATCTGGCCGCAGCTGGTGACGGATATTCGCGACGGGGTTTTGAGCAGTCGAATTTCGTCGCTAAATATTCGGTCGGCTATGGAGAAGGTGCTTGTAGGACCGAACCCTAAATTAGGGGATACGATTCATCGGAAGTGTTTAGGGTTGAGTAATTGGTACGGATTGATACCGGAGATTTTTCCGAACGTGAAGTATGTGTATGGGATAATGACCGGTTCGATGGAGGGGTATGTTGGTAAATTGAGGCATTACGCGGGGGGTGAATTGGCTTTGGTGAGTGGCGATTATGGTTCGTCGGAGGGGTGGATTGGGGTGAATGTGAACCCTAGATTGTCGCCGGAGATGGCTACTTTTGCGGTGCTTCCGAATATTGGTTACTTTGAGTTTGTTGAAATGGGATTGCCGGAAGAGGCGGCGGTGGTGGCGGCGGCGGCTCAGCCGGTTGGTTTGACGGAAGTTGAGGTTGGGAAGGAGTATGAGATCATTGTCACCACTTTTGCAGGTGAGTTTGCATATTCACTTTCTCTTCTCTAACTACTTTTCTTGAATTATACATACACATAATTTTTTAATATTTCTTTTTTTATTTAAATGTTGAAACAATTATATAATTTATTTTTTTCATTCCGAATTTCCATATTTTTTTTTATTGGAATAAAAGTATACATCAAATTACTGAAAATTTCAATTTTTGATCTGATTTTATATTTCAATTTTTTTAGATTTTGAATTCTTCTGAAAATATACTTATAATATTGATATATTACATATTGACAATATGTAATCTAGATATAATTTATTTTAAAAATATATATACATTAAATAATTAAATCATTGTTATGATAACAGATGATTTTTTTTCTTCTTTTTTTTTAATATATTAAGGGTTGATAAACAAATAATATATTCTTTAAAAAAACGAAATTTTTCATTTTTTCGGGAATTGTTCCGATATTGTTTATAAAAAATATAGAAGTAACCCGATTTCTGAAAAAAATCGATTTTTTTTACATTTCCCGAGATTGGAATGAATATTTCATTGCATGGTAAAATATTTAGAATCGAGATCAAAATCAAAATTCCACTTCCGAAAACCGTGTTTATCCGGTTCGTTCCGTCCAATTTCCACCCTAATAAGTACACAATTCGTTCACACACACACACACACTAACACGGATGTGTGTACGCAGGGTTGTACCGGTACCGTTTGGGAGACATAGTGAAGGTGAAAGGGTTCCACAACTCGACGCCGGAGCTCCAATTCATATGCCGGAGCAATCTCGTTCTCAACATCAACCTCGACAAAACCACCGAAAAAGACCTCCAATTAGCCGTAAACACATCCGCCAATTTACTAGCCGGAGAAAAACTCGAACTCGTCGACTTCACTAGCTTCGCCGATCGGTCAACCGATCCCGGAAATTACGTCATTTTCTGGGAAACAACCGCCAATAATAATAACAATAATGATGAAATAATGCAAGAGTGTTGCAACTGTTTGGACAGATCATTTGTTGATGCAGGATATGTGAGTTCAAGAAGAGTGAACTCAATTGGAAAATTGGAGCTTAAAATATTAAAAAGGGGTACTTTTAATAAGATTATGGATTATTACGTGGGGTTGGGATCTGCTGTTAGTCAGTTCAAAACGCCGCGTTTCATTGGTATTAATAATCATAAGGTGCTCAATATTTTGTCAACCAATGTTGTTAACACCTACTCTAGCACTGCATTTGATTAGATTAGATTAATTAAAAAAATTATATAAATTTGTTAGCATGTTTTTCCTTTTTATTTTATTTTATATATCTATACACATATACCTAGAAATTGAATAAGAAGGTTGGTTTTGATTTCCTAGTAATATTGGGTTCTTTTTTGTAATGTAATTTGATTGTCGATTTGTATTAAAAAAAAATGGAAAATACAGTTTTTACTCTTTAAGTTTGCACAGATTTTACATTTGGTCCTCATGTTCATAAAAAAACACATTTAGTCCCTCATGTTTCAATAAGTCAACACATTTGGTCATTTCCGTCAATTTACCGTTCGTCCGTCAGTTAAGGCAGTGAAGGGCACAAACTTGATTCCGCTAGTACTAACGGAAAATTGACGAATAAGGGGTAAAACTGTTAAATTTTTTAAACATGAAGAACCAAATAGGTTTTTTTGTGAACATAGGGGACTGAATGTGAAATCGGTGAAAACTTAGGGGATGCAAATTGTATTTTTCTCAAAAAAAGTTGATTCGTATAGATTCGTTGAGTTTTTACCTTTTTAAGTTACATATACAGTTAAACCTCTATAAACTAATACAGTTTACATTTACAGTAGTCAAATGCTATTAAATTAGTATATTTTCATCGAATCGGGACCGGGATAATTTATTATTTAAGTGACACTATTAATTTCTCGAGATTTTGCTCTATTGCAAAACAATAGAATTTGCATAATAGTTACTTGAATATTTTGTGTGGTACCATAAATATTTAAATTTTATATGGTCAATTGTGGTGGCAACAATATAACTAACAATCCTAGAAAACTCAGAAGACATATAAATATATTAAGATGTGATTATATTTTATTTCTATATAGAGTGACGTAATTTTAGGATATTTAAGCTTTAGACAAATTAAATATTTTTATTTGAGACAGTTTTATGAATGCACCAAAGGGCACATGATTTGAATTTTGAAATATTGCATAGTATAGAATTTTCTATACGTACGTGCAAGCCATCTGTATACTTTGCTTATATTACAAAAATTAAATAAGCTGATCTGTCATTATCTGTTTTATTATATAAAGGGCACTCTTCAATTAAACTAAACAAGGACTAATTTTGAATTAGTGAAATATTCACTTTAAAATAACCCCAAAAAAGTTTTTTTTTTTTTTTGAAAAATTCATTCAGACAAGATGAAGAGAAAAAGTAAAGAATCCGATGATGTAAGAAAAGACGACGATGACGACGAAGAAGAAGAAGAAGCTAGAAAGAAGATATGGGATTGTGGGAGCCCTTTATATGATTCATATGAACTTGTTGCTATTAACAGTGTTATTGAGAGGCATTTTATGATTTTTCCTTATCTTGGTGGATCAAGAAAAGTGACAGCTCAGCATCAACAACGACAACTTTGTCTGAATTCATCGCCGCCACCAAGACGAGCGGCGGCAGGCGGCGGCGGAGGTGGTGGTGGAGGAAAATCTTCTGGGGTTAGTTTGATGATTGAAATGTTAGAGGGACTTGCTTTGTGGAAGAGAAATGCAGCCAAGGATAGAAATAAGAATTTTGAAAAAAGATGAAATATTAAAATATATATATATATATATAATTAATTTCTTGATTTTTATATTTTTCTTAATTAGTTGATCATTTTCCCATCATTCTTAATGCAAATTTTTACTTTTGAAATTGTTATGAATGTTGTATTTACTTTTTTAATTTCCTTTCCTTATCACTAGGGCCGGTGCAGAGGAACAAAACGAATGTAAAATAGTAGAGAGAGAGAGAGGAGAATTCGAGAGAAAGTATAGAATTGTCCGATTGACTGTGTATGCGTAACACTGGTTGGGTTTTTATACATTTGTTTATATACACTTAACAATCGTAAGCAGTGGAATTTGAAAATTTCTTTATAATCTACATGCCCAAACTATATTTTTATACGATTTGGAATATTTATTCAATACACCAATATATGATTTTCGTATAATCTTTTCTAATGTTCATTAATAAGTGAATATACACTACAAGAAATATTGGTTTTAATGACGATTATGTATGGTCGCTAAAAGTTAGAAAATGGTAGCTAAAACTTCTAGCGACCAAATTAAGCTTGGTCACCGGTGGTCACAACAGGGTAGTTACTAAAAGTACTCAGTGACAAGAAAATTAATTGGACGCTAAAAGATAAGATTTAGCGGCGAACTAATAATGGTCACTAAAAATATAATTATTAACGACCAGTTTTTGACTCGCTAATGTAAATTTTATGGTTGCAATAATATCAACATGGTTGCTATAGCAACACATATAGTGGCCATATAATTTTGGTTGCTAAATGATATATACATACAGTGACCATATTTTATTGTTGCTATAGGATATATATTTGGCAACCACATATTTTGGTTGCTACATAATATACATATAGTGACGGTATAAATTGATTGCTAAAATATATGCATATAGTGACCATATATTGGTTGCAATAATTTTTACATAATTTCAACAATTGCATTAATTTACTGAGCAATTAGACCAATAAAAAAAAATCAAAACAAAACTAAAGATTGCAAATTTACATATTATCAATCAAATGTGAATATTATAATTTCAGTCTATCATACTCAATACAATAATAAATCAATCATTCTGAAAAAAATATTGCTATAATTATTTCATAACAAGTTCCACTTCATAAATTGTTACGCGACAACAAATATGACTTCCACAATAACGTTCTTTCACTTCATCAAACACTACCTGAAAAGGAAAAAAATAATTATTCAATTAGAAGACGAAAAATCATATGATAGAATTAATTTCAATTATTTGTCCACTTAGTAGCACTCATAATGCAATAATGTATATGGGCTCTTGCAGAAGTAGCTACTTACCTCATCCGGTCCATGTGTTTAATGTGATACATTGTCTGAGAATTATTAGTTGGGACGAAAATTCTAATTCATTTGTTCTACTTCACATATTAATTGAGGAAGTTTATAACAAAACAATTAATACGAAATATTGCATGCAATGGAACAGAACTTTGATTTCAGAAAACTCGCCTAGATCCCAATGCACAATATAGCCGAACCTGCTCCTCCTGACTCCCTTCATCTATTGACCACCAACCTAGTTACCTGATATAAAAAATTTATCCACAATCAGTAGAAGTAGAGAACTAATTTTGACAAACTTTATGGTTCATTTTTATATAATTTACATTCGATATACCTGGATGCACGACAAATAAATCTCGTATAATCGTGAGCAGCACCCGGGCCCCGGCAATCTAATATAATTTTCTGTATCAGCTCCATCTGATGTAAGAGTGTTGATTTGTTCAAATTTATACATGTCAAATCGTCAAACAAAAAACCTGCTCCTTGCTCCTTGCATTGACAAAAGAGAGAAGAAAAATTGAGTATATTTAGCAAAAAATGTAACGATGAGATCAATATATACAAATACCAACTCAATATTGTCCAACCAAGAAATTTACTTAACATACCCTCATATGATGTTATGTCAACTTTTGATCACATTACTTTAAACTTGTTGCTCAATGTGCACAAGACAAATTTCAAATAAATAATGGTCTAAATAGATGCTAACTAAGGACAACCAAGAAATTTACTTAACATACCCTCATATGATGTTATGTATAATTCATGCACATCATAGCAAATAATATTTTTCCTATTAAGCAACAATAAAGATATTACAAAGAAAAAAATAAACATAAATAAATAACACTCTTGAACCTAAATATATGGTACCAAAGAACAAAATTCAATACATACCGACCTTTTTTAGTAGAAGTTTCTTCCCATTGAAATCAATTTTCTCGTTCAGTTCCCACCTGTAATGTTTTGTGTTCTCCAAATCCCAATAGTATTACTTGATCAAAATAAGACGTGCCATACGAATTAAGTAAATAACTTGAAGAAATAACTAACAAAGTTTTCTCACCTCGAGTTAGCACCAAAAGCAGCACCATAGACCAAAATTTTCTTAGGTACACAACAACGAATGACATACCTGAAATATGAATCCATTAGTTTCTAAAGCTTCACTTTCGATCACATTACTTTAAACTTGTTGCTCAATGTGCATAAGACAAATTTCAAATAATTGATGACTCGGATTGATGCTAATTATGAACATTAAACTAGAAGCCAACGTTACTTGTGTCACATTTTCTTCCAAAAACTGTAGCAGGCCGTACGCTTATCCAAATTGGGAAAATAATATACAAAATAAAATTTCACAACTTTATCTACAATTTTTATGAAGATACCAACCACAAATTACTAAGATAACACAGCAATAACAGCCCGAAGAGATGAATACACAAAACTGTCAGAATTGTT